TTTTAGCAGAGATGGGGTTTCACCATGTTGCCCAGGCTGGTTTCGAACTCCTGAGCTCAGGCAGTGTGTCGCCTCGGCCTCCCAAAGTGTTAGGGATTACAGGCATGAGCCACTGCACCAGGCCCACTTTCCTTTTTTTCTAGTAATTATTTTTAAAATTTTAGCAGGTTTTTAAAGTCCAGTTAGAAGATAATCTTTAAGATTATCTTTTAAATTAAGTTATATTAAATTAAGTTTTAATATAACTACCCTTGTTTAAAAGGGACTCCAAATTTTTTTTTTTTTTTTTGGCTGGAGGGTAGTGGTGTGATCTCGGCTCACTGCAGCCTCCGCCTCCCAGGTTCAATTGATTCTCCTACCCCAGCCTCCTGAGTAACTCGGATTACGGGTGCCTGCTACCATGCCTGGCTAATTTTTGTATTTTTAGTATAAATGGGGTTTTGCCACGTTGGCCAGGCTGGTCTCAAACTCCTGACCCCAGGTGATCCACCTGCCTCAGTCTCCTAAAGTGCCGGGATTACAGGCGTGGACCACCATGCCTGGCCAGTTTTTAAAAATTTAAGTATAAAATGCATATAGAGACGTGTCAGAAATGTATAGCTCAGTGAATTTTCCCAAATTGAGTACACCCATATCAAATAACCATTTAGCACCTATGTCAAGCAGCAGAACATGAGCATCCCAGAAGCTCCCCTAATATTCCCTTCTCCAAGGGAACATATCCCACCTCCTTCAGGATACTTTTATCCTGTCTTTTAACATAGTTTAACTGCTTTTTGTACACTATAGAAATATCATAAAGTTTGTAAAATCCGGCTTGTTTAGCTCAACATTATATCATTATATTCATATTGTTGCTTGTAGCTGTAGCATTTTCATTCTCAATACATCATATTGTAGTTTTCATTTTGTGAATATACCATAATTAATTATGCATTCTTCTGTTGGTGGACCTATGTATAGTTTTCAGTTTGGAGCTGTTATAAACAGTATGGCTATGAACTTTCTAGCAAATTTTTTTCTGATAATGTATGTAGTTTTAAAATTTTTTTTTTTTTAATAGATACAGAGTCTCACTCTTGCTCAGGCTGGAGTGCAATGGAGTGATCATAGCTCACTGCAGCCTTGACCCACTGGGCTCAAGCAATCCTCCTGCTTTAGTCTTCCAAGTAGCTAGGACTACAGGCGTGCACCACCATGTCCAGCTAGTTTTTAAATTTAATTTTAATTTTTAATTTTTTATAGGAGCAGATTCTCACTATGTTGTTCAGGCTGGCCTCAAACTCCTGGCCTCAAGTAATGCTCCCACCTTGGCCTCTGAAAGTGCTGGGATTACAGGCATAACCCACTGCCCCTGGTTTTATATATATAGGTTTGATGGGTATATACTTCAGAGTGGAATTTATGGGCTCTAATAGATACTGCCACCCAGTTTCCCGAATGGTTGTAAAAGTTTACACTCCCATAGCATCCAGTGAGTTTAGGTTGGTTCATATCCTCCCTAACTCTTGGTACTTCACACTTTTTTCATTTTTGTATTTATTTTTTTTGACACAGAGTCTTACTCTGTCGCCAGGCGCCAGGCTGGAGCGCCACTGCAACCTCCGCCTCCCGGGTTCAAGCAGTTCTCTTGCCTCAGCTTCCCGAGTAGCTGGGACTACAGATGCGAGCCACCCATGCCCAGCTAATTTTTATATTTTAGTAGAGACAGGGTTTCACTATGTTGGCCAGGATGATCTTGATCTCTTGACCTTGTGATCCGCCCGTCTTGGCCTCCCAAAGTACTGGGATTACAGGCGTGAGCCACCGTACCCGGCCCATTTTCTTTGTTTTTTTGTGACAGGGTCTCCCTTTGGCTGAGGTTGAAGTACAATGGTGCGATTTTGGCTCACCTCAACCTCCGCCTCTTGGGTTCAAGTGATCTTCCACCTCAGCCTCCCGAGTAGCTGGGACTACGGGCATACGCTACCACGCCAGCCTAGTAGAGACAGGGTTTTCCCATGTTGCCTAGGCTGGTCTTGTGAGCTCAAGCCATTTGCCCCACTCAGCTTCTCAAACTGCAGGATTACAGGTGTGAGCCACTGCACCTGGCCATTGTTTTATTATTTTTTATTTTTTTAATTTCTTTTGAGATGGAGTTTCGCTCTTGTTGCCCAGGCTGGAGTGCAATGGCATGATCTCGGCTCACTGCAACCTCTGCCTCCTGGGTTCAAGTGATTCTCTTGCCTTAGCCTCCCAAGTAGCTGGGATTATAGGTATGTGCCACCATGCCCAGCTAGTTTTCGTATTATTAGTAGATATGGTGTTTCTCCATGTTGGTCAGGCTGGTCCCAAACTCCCGGCCTCAAGTGATCTGCTCGCTTTGGCCTCCCGAAGTGCTGGGATTATGGGTGTGAGCCACTGCGCCCAACCCATTATTTTATTATTACTATTTTTTTTAGTGAAGGGGTCATGCTGTGTCACCCAGGCTGGCCTTGAATGTTTTGGCTCAAGGGACCCTCCCACCTCAGCCTCCTAAGTGGCTAAGACTACAGGTATATGCTGCTGTCCCCAGCTTTGGTTATTTTTACTATTTTTAAAACTAGTTTTGCTGGGCACCATGGCTCATGTCTCTAATCCCAACACTTTGGGAGGCCGAGACGGCTGAATCACTTGAGCTCAGGAGTTCCAAGACTAGCCTGGGCAACTGGTGAAATCCCATCTCTACAAAAAGTACAAAAATTAGCCGTTGCAGTGGTACATGCCTCTAGTTCCACCTACCGGGGAGGCTGAGGCAGGAAAATTGCTTGAGCCCGGGAGGCAGAGGTTGCAGTGAGCCAAGATGGCACCAGTACACTCTAGCCTGGGGGACAGAGTCTCAAAAAATAAAAAACAAATACATAAAACTAGTTTTTTGTTTTTTTTTTTAGAAGGAGTTTCACTCTTGTTACCCAGGCTGGAGTGCAATGGTATGATCTCAGCTCACCACAACCTCTGCCTCCTGGGTTCAGGCAATTCTCCTGCCTCAGCCTCCTGAGTAGCTGGGATTACAGGCACGCACCACCATGCCCAACTAATTTTTTGTATTTTTAGTAGAGATGGGGTTTCACCATGTTGACCAGGATGGTCTCGATATCTTGAGCTCATGATCCACCAGCCTCGGCCTCCCGAAGTGCTGGGATTACAGGCTTGAGCCACCACGCCCAGCCATAAAACTAGTTTTTAGTTTGACTGGTCTCTTATTTACTTTGCTTTATTTTGGTTTCTGGTTATGGTAAATATTTTTAATTATCATTGTTTTTTGAGAGATGGTATTGCTCTGTCACCAGGCTGGAATGGGGTGGCACCTTCATAGCTCTGCTTCGGCCTCCTGGGCTCAAGTGATCCTTTACCTTAGCCTCCTGAGTAGCTGGGACTGCACGTACATGCTACCACACCCAGCTAATTTTTTAGTTTTTATTTTTTGTAGAGACAGGGTCTTGCTGTGTTGCCCAAGCTGGTCTTTAAGTCCTTGCCTCAAGCCATTCTCCTGCCTTTACCTCCCAAAGCACTGGAATTATAGGCATGAGCCACTGCACACTGACTTATAGTTTGGTTAATGGTCTTAATTGGTAATGACTTCTAGTGCTGCTTTAATGATACTAGCTACTATTTTTTTAGCACTTTCCTGACAATCACAAATACTTTATTAAACGTTTTTGTTTTTTAACTCTGTCACCAGGCTGAGTGCAGTTGCGCGATCTCTGCTCACTGCAACCTCTTGCCTATCAGGTTCAAGCGATTCTCCTGCCTCAGCCTCCCAAGTAGCTGGGACTACAGGCATATGCCACCATGCCCACCTAATTTTTGTATTTTTAGTAGAGAGGGGTTTCACCATGTTGGCCAGGATAGTCTTGATCTCCTGACTTTGTGATCCACCTGCCTCAGCCTCCCAAAGTGCTGGGATTACAGGTGTGAGCCACCACACCTGGCTAGACATTTTATATGTGTTATCTATTTTAATTTTCTGAACAGCCCAATCAATTGTAGATACTTTTATTATTTCATGAAGGAGGAAACATTTTAGAGGGGGAAAACTGACTTGTTTAACAGTGCTACATAGTTAGGAAACTCAGGTTCTGTGATCTCTTACTGCACCATAACCTCTCAACTTTTGTTGGTATAGATGAGGAATACTTGTACATGTTTACAGGAGAGTGGATTAAATGTATACATATTTTAGATCCCAGATAGTTATGTCTGTAGTTTAACTGGTTCTTTTGAAAGCAGAATGATCAAATAAGGTATTTGGTGGGGCTAGAGAAGATTTTAGTTTGATTCTAATTAGAAAGTTGGTTATACATGTTTAAAGCTGGAAGTATTAAATATTTCTCAAATTATGTTCCATTGCACACTGTTTGGAAAATTTTCCTATTTCCTGACCAAGTAACTTTGAGTAACACCTATGAACATGCAGATAACTTTGAGAAACACCTAACTTTGGGTAAAATCTATTGACTTTATCCTAGAACTTCCCAAATCAGTTTGTGTGCTCTTTTATCGTAGACCTGTTTATGTCTTTGGAACAATATGTTGATATACATCAGTTTGAGACAAAAACTTGTCATTCATCCTTTTATTTTGTAGGGGGAGGAAATGGAGATCCAGTATGGGTTAATGTGTTGCCTAAGATCACACAGCTACTAAATGACAGAGCCAGGATCCAGTTCTTCCTTTGTACTTTGCTTCCTCTAGTAATATTATTAATATGTAATATTAGTATTTATTTATCATATACTGTGTTAAGAAGTTGTAAAGCAGACTTGAGTGTAATTTTTAAAATGTTCCCATCTAGTCCGCCTATCAGTCTTACTCTCTGATAAATACATATACAGTTCTTAAACTTTTAAGATTTACGTGCATATGAGTAGCCTAACTTATTTAACATGAATGCATATCCATAATCGCTTGTTTGTAGTTAATTATAGCAATGAAAAGAGTAATATTTTTCTGTAATTAATGTGTCACAATGTTTGGTTTAGTTTCTGTAGAAAATGTTTCCTGACTGCAATGAGGGAAAGCGGAGCACATTGTCCCCTATGTCGTGGAAATGTGACTAGAAGAGAGAGAGCATGTCCCGAACGGGCTTTAGACCTTGAAAATATCATGAGGAAGTTTTCTGGTAGCTGCAGATGCTGTGCAAAACAGGTAGAGTAAAAGTGACATATCTCTTCTTTGGAAGCCAAGTTTCTACTCTGAAATTCTTGTTTGAATTTTCTTGGTGGGTGCTATTTTGAAAAGAAGGAAGGTAGATTGGGAATTGGATAGAAAAGGCCAAAAAAAACTGTGGTTATAGATCTTACTAGATTATAAACTTATAGAGGAATGAGATTGAAAAAAATTACCAAATTTCATATTTAGCATAGCATTTTTCTAAAAGTAATTTCTCATTGATTACTTAGTAAATTAACTAAATGAGCAAGCTGGCATTTAGCTTCTTTAAATCCCATTCTGGTACAAATTCAACCCTTAAGTTTTTCTCATGGTAGCATCGTTATTGCAGCTTTGCACATAGAAATGTTACTAGTTTGGTCACATGTATTTATGTAGTTAAGGAACTTTCTAGCTGCTTACTTTACTTATGTGTTTATCTATTAAAGAAATCACAAGGGGTGGGCATGGTGACTCACGCTTATAATCCCAGCACTTTGGGAGGCTGAGGTGGGTGGATCACCTGAGGTCAGGAGTTCGAGACCAGTCTGACCAATGTGGGGAAACCCCATCTCTACAAAAAATACAAAAATTAGCCAGGTGTGGTGGCACATGCCTATAATCCTAGCCAGTTGAGAGGCTGAGGCAGAATTGCTTGAACTAGGAGGCAGAGGTTGCAGTGAGCCAAGATCTCGTCATTACACTTCAGACTGGGCAACAAGAGCAAAACTCTGTCTTAAAAAAAAAAAAATCACAAAATATTTGGTTAATTTTAAGGAACATGTAGGAAAATTAGATGTTAACAAATAACCAGCATTAATTCTCTAATCTGGATGTTATTCTCTCATTTGGAGAAGGAATAAAATAGTGAGGGGCGGTTTTGCTTTGAGTATATCCATATGTATAGATTTATCACCAACATTTTTTCTAACAGCTAATGAAGTCAGTGAGCAAAACTGGTTGCTATTTCATGCATTCACACAAGTCATATCTGCTTTTCCATCTTTTTGAAAAAAGTGTGTAACTGACAGGGAGATGAAGTGAAGCTAGAAAACACACTTAAGGGATTTTGGCTGTTCCTCTCAGTGAGAAACTGAAAAATGTTCCAAGTATTAACCTGGGAACTTAATTTTCTTTCTTTCTTTCTTTTTTTTTTCTTTTTTTGAGACAGGGTTTCACTTCGTCACCTAGGCTGGAGGAGTACAGTAGCACAATCTCGGCTCACTGCAGCCTTGACTTTCCAGATTTTAAGGGATCCTCCTGCCTCAGCTCCTCAGGTAGCTGAGACTACAGGTGCACACTATACCTCACTAATTTTTGTATTTTTGGTATGAACAGAATGTTGTCATGTTGCTTAGGCTGATTTCAAACCCCTGAACACAAGCAATCCACCCACCTTAACCTCCCGAAGGGCTGGGATTACAAATATGAGCCACCACGCTTAGCTAGAAACTTACTTTTTTTAAAGTGCTAGGCTGCAGATGTTAAATAATAAGACATGCCTGATAGCATCTGGCATCATCTTAGTACTTTAAGTTTTTTTGTCTAGTACTAGTAGTGCCTTTTCTTTATTTATTTATTTAAAGACAGGGTTTCACCGTCTTGGTCAGGCTGGTCTTGAACTCCCGACCTCAGGTGATCCTCCTTGGCCTCCAAAGTGCTTGGATTATAGGCATGAGCCACCACACCCGGCCTAGTAGTGTCTTTTCAAGTATGAAGTTATTTGCTATTTTTTGTAGTGAGTTTATGGACAGATGGACTCTTCTCCATCTCTACATTTAATGAACAGAAATGTATTACCTATTTTTAACTCCTGCTTAAGGATGAAATAATTAAAAAAAAATCAAACTCTTGTTTAAATGGAGTATTTAGTTACTTATTTTAATTTTTTTCTTCTTTTTGATAGTATCTCAAATCTTATGAGTTCTATTTTAAATTAAAAGTCACATTTTAATCAATAATTTACAGATTAAATTCTATCGCATGAGACATCATTACAAATCTTGTAAGAAGTATCAGGATGAATATGGTGTTTCTTCTATCATTCCAAACTTTCAGATCTCTCAAGATTCAGTAGGGAACAGGTAAGCAATACTTATTCCTAAATAGAGAATTTTCATAATTGAAATGGAAATTGATGTGGTAACTTTATGATAAAGTATTTTGGGAGATGTGTGTGTGTATGTGTGCATGTGTTTTTAAAGTGAATTGCCAAGTATCAGAACTACAGCATTTGCCTTCAAAGTCTATTTGGCACATATAAGATCTCATCTGGGAGATGAACTTCATGAACTTTTTTTTTTTTTTCCAGTTTCCAGGCAGAACTTTATGAACTTAAGCTTATGTTATTTAAAATCATTCTAAGAATCTTTATTTTTTTGAATAAAAAATAAATTGGAGATTATTCTCTTACTGATTTTGCAACTGAAATGATTTGAAAACTATAGAAAATTCTTGTTAGTAATGTATTTGCAAACAACCTATTTTTTTCTTTGCTATCTAAGGGATAGACTTAGATTTTGAAATATTTATTCTAAAATGTCATGTTAGAGTGAAACTAGGTGCAATGCAGTTCTATTTGAGTCTCAATTCTATTAAACAACTAGATTTGGATTGATTTGTATCTTCTCTTAGATTTATGTACATTAAACATTTTTATGAAATGTATTTTACACAGACAAATGGCCAAAATGCACTTGTGGTTTAAAAAAATAATGATAAACATCCAGTTCCAGGTCAAGAAATAGAACATTTTTCAGAATTTTAGAATCTATGTGAGCTGTTGCCCATTTGAACCCTATACTCCTAGATGCGACCACTAGTCTCTTATTTAGATTATTCATTCCTTTGCTTTTCTTTATGTATCATCACCCATGCATATATCCCTAAACAATGCATTGTTACTTTTAAAAACTTCAATAGTAGGGATACACATAACTGTGTAAGGAAAGACAATATTGCCACTATTGTAGAAAGGTTCCCAGGAGACAGTATATATAGTATGTTAGTAGTCTCTGAGATTTTATTTTAGTATCTTTTCATTTTACATGTTGCTAATTTTTAGTAACTTAACTGCACTTAAGCACTTCATGTTTATCATACAATATTAGGTGTCTTCCCTGCTCAGTGAAAATTTCTGGTAAAGGTCTTTCGTGATTTTCTGATAAAAATCTGTAGTAATTGTAATTTGTAGATTGCCTAATCTGCAAAAACTTTTCAGGTTCTCATTTTATATGACTTGTTAGTGTCAAGGAAATTTGGTTGAAATTTGTTGCTCCTTGGGCCGGGCGCGGTGGCTCACTCCTGTAATCCCAGCACTTTGGGAGGCCGAGGTGGGTGGATCGCGAGGTCAGGAGATCGAGACCATCCTGGTCAACATGGTGAAACCCTGTCTCTACTAAAAATACAAAAAAAAATTTAGCTGGGCATGGTGGCGCGTACCTGTTATCCCGGCTGCTCGGGAGGCTGAGGCAGGAGAATTGCCTGAACCCAGGAGGCGGAGGTTGCAGTGAGCCGAGATTGCGCCATTGCACTCCAGCCTGGGTCACAAGAGCGAAACTCCGTCTCAAAAAAAAAAAAAAAAAAGAAATTTGTTGCTCTTGTAGTTTATTTTTAGTCCTTCTGGGTTTCTTCATTTCTGTGTTTTCCTTATTGTTGTACTTCTTTATTGTAATTTCCTATCTGCTTTTTTACCCAATAGATTGTTCTTAATTGAGGGGATGGCATTTGTCTTGTTGAGGATATCTCCAGGTTTTAGTGAAGTTCTTAGTATACATGACTGTAATCACTGCTTTTAATGACCAAATTTTCTTGTCAGCAGACAGGCCTTCCTCCCTCTTATTGCTTAGATCCACTTGCTCATAGACACTTGATTCCTAATAGCAATATTCCTCATCTGTCACTTCCCTACCTCAGGCCCTCATCTTTCACTCAAACTATTATAATAGTCTAGTTGGTAGTTACCCTCTAATCTGTTTTACATTCTGTGGCCAAGTAATATTAATGAGCTATAAAAGACAAAATTTCGTATTCCAAAGCCCTTTCTGATCTGGCCCTTTCCCTCTTTTTATAGCCTTTTTCTTGCATCATTGCATCATGTGCCTTAGCCATGGTGAATTTTTTCTTCCGTTATCTTTGCCATTCTTGAAAAATAATATGACCGTGGTTAAAAACGAAGGCTTGGAGCCGGAGTGTTGGGTTAAAATTTCAGCTATCACTTACTGATTGTATTACATTGGCAAGAAACTGCCTCAGTTGTCTTAATCTGTTTAAGGAAATGTATGAGAGGCGATGATAATATTAGGACCTCACTGGGTTGAAGTTAATAAGTGAGTTAATACAGGCAAAGAAACTTGAATAGTACTTTGGTGAATGTTAGTTTTTCCTCTTCATCATCACTATCACTCCCTCACCTCCACACTTTTACCAGTAATATCACAACCTGCACTTTGCCAGCTGGTTGACGTTTTTCTTCTTAAAGACTTAGACCAAGTGTTAGCTACTCGGTAAAATCCTTCCTGACCTCTAGAGTATTTTCTTGGTAGAACTGTTCTTCATGCAATTAGACCTCTAAACTTTATTGTATTTATTTATTTATTTCAGCCTTTCTCCTTACCTAGAATGAGCTTTTTAGTCTTATTTATTTCAATATCCTATGCAGATTTCTGATTGCAATGAAGGAATTGAGTTTGTATATGGATGTTTAATCAGTAAGAAAATTGGCAAAGGAAGGAAAAGATTTTTTTCTTTTTTGGGACAGAGTCTCACTCTGTAGCCCAGGCTGGAGTGCAGTGGTGCAATTTTGACTCACTGCAACCTCTGCCTCCTGGGTTCAAGTGATTCTCCTGCCTCAGCCTCCTGAGTAGCTGGGACTGACTACATGCCCCGGCTAATTTTTTTGTATTTTTAGTAGAGACAGGGTCTCACCATGTTAGCCAGAATGGTCTTGATCTCCTGATCTCATGATGCGCCTGCCTCAGCCTCCCAAAGTGCTGGGATTACAGGCGTGAGCCACCACACCCAGTCCTTTTTTTTTTTTTTTTTTAGTCTTAAATTTAGTTTGTTTGTTTGTTCTGTTCTGTTTTTAGACAGGGTCTCGCCCTATCATCTGGGAGTGCAATGGCGTGAAATGGCTCACTGTAGTCTCAACCTCTTGGGCACAAGCATTCCTTCTGCCTTATCCTTCCATGTAACTAGCACCACAGGAACATGCTACCACATCCATCTAATTTTTTTTTTTTTTTTGGTAGAGATGGGAGTGTCAATTTGTTGCACAGGCTGATCTCAAACTCCTGTGCTCAAGCAGTTCTCCTGCCTTGGCTTCCCAAAGTGCTGGGTTATAGGTGTTAGCTACCATGCCTGGACAGAAATGTTCATTTTTATTTATTTACTTATGTATTTTTAGGCAGAGTTTTGCTCTTGTCACCCAGGCTGGATTGCAATGGTATGTTCTCGGTTTACTGCAACCTCCGCCTCCTGGGTTCAAGTGATTCTCCTGCCTCAGCCTCCCGAGTAGCTGGGATTACAAGTGCTCACCACCATGCCCTGCTAATTTTTGTATTTTTAGTAGAGACGGGGTTTTGCCATGCTGGTTAGGCTGGTCTCAAACTCCTGACCTCAGGTGATCCGCCTGCCTTGGCCTCCCAAAGTGCTGGGATTATAGCCGTGAGCCACCACACCCAGCCTATTTTTATTTTTATTCTATTTTTTTTGAGTCTCACTCTGTTGCACAGGTTGGAGTGCAGTGCCATGATCTCGACTCACTGCAACCTCCGCCTCCCAAGTTCAAGTGATTCTTCTGCCTCAGCCTCCCTAGTAGCTGGGATTATAGGTGCCCACCATCATGCCCGGCTATTTTTGTAGAGATGGGGTTTCACCATGTTGGCCAGGCTGGTCTTTGATTCCTGACCTCTGGTGATCTACCTGCCTTCAGCCTCCCAAATTGTTGGGATTACAGGTGTAAGCCACCACATCCAGCCAGAAATGTTGTTGTCGTTTTTTTTTCCTTTTTTTTTTGAGACAGAGTCTTACTCTGTTGCCAGGCTCCGGGCTGGAGTGCAGTGGCCCAATCTCGGCTCACTGCAATCTCCGCCTCCTGGGTTCAAGCAATTCTCCTGCCTTAGCCTCCCGAGTAGCGGGGACTACAGGCGTACCCCACATGCCCAGCTGATTTTTGTATTTTTTAGTAGAGATGGCGTTTCACCATGTTGGTCAGGATGGTCTCATCTCTTGACCTCGTGATCTGCCCGCCGTGGCCTCCGAGAGTGCTGTGATTTTTTTCTAAATAGTAGGTAAAATAAGATATGATCCATAGTATGCTCAAGGTCTGAGCAGGAAACAGATAGTGGGCTCTAATTATGCAATTTGAGGAGAATTGAGTAATGCGACTATTTTCAAAGAGTAGTGTACTAGGTACACTATATAAGTAGGGTATAGGAAGCCACAAGGAATAATGGTGGGTTCTGGGTCTACTGAAAGCAGGTGGAAAGAAATAGGAGGAAGAAATAGATAACCTGAACCTGGAGAAGAGAGCTGAATAGAGCATGGCTAAGGAAATTCATAAAGTGGCATTTGTATGTACCTGAGTAGTAAAAAAAAAAATAAATAAGTTGCAAAGTAAATGCATAGATCATTTCCGTAATTCAGTATACATTTATTATACCTTCTAAAGTGTAGGACACACTCTACATGTTATTGAATATACAGGGATTGGTAAAACAGACACTGTTATTTTTTCCATATATCTAACTATAAGCTATAACTTTAAGTTGAGCCATCTAAAATAATGTGGTGCTTTCATTCATGTCATTCTGAGAAGTACTGTTTACTATAAATGACTAAATATTAGAGGATGTTTTAGCAAAAGTATTGCATTGGTGTGGGGTAGTTTCTCATAATACTTAAATAGTAGTGCTAATTTAATTAAGGCCATTTCTATTTCATAACAATTCTGCTTCTAACATAAGATTGCATCTTTTTGTTTTTTTTAGCCACAGGAAGTAGGGAGGAGGAGGGAAGATGAATGTAATCATTAAGATACAGACGACATTTCCATTTTACTTTCCTTGGAAATCATTTGGTCTGT